AAGTTCAATAAACTCCTTGGCAGATGTTCTCAATCAGCATTAAAGCCATCCTAGTACAACTGGGCTCACTCCCTGCCCCCTGGGTAGGCTTTGCTCACAAACAAATTTTCAGCAGTCATACCACTGCCTGCTCTACCAAATATGTCCCTGGGCTGAAGTCTACTTGAGTTGGTTACTCCACTTAAACCAAACCAAAGAAAACCCACTTTAACTCCACAGCAAGGCATCTGGAGCAGGGCTTTTCACCACCAAATTAGCCCATCACTTTAGCTTATTGGGAATAACTTCTTGCTGACCCTGACAGATAAAACCAAAGGCTCAACATCATTAAGCTCTCTCATCCCACAAGCACACACTGCATCTTCAGCCTAAACTCAGCCCTAGGTGATGCATGGGCTGCAAAGCCTGGTTCTGGCCTTTGTGAGCTGCTCTGTGTCTCCCTATCAGCCTCAGCACCAACTCCTCCACCACCTTCTCCCTAAGTGGTGAGCAGCTGAAATAGCTGTGCGGGGCAGGAGACCCAGCTGCATGCAGTCAGAGCCACTGAGGCTGTCATAGGTGCTGAGGCTTGGGGAAGCATCACAGGCACTGGCTGTGCCTGGAATTACAACTCTGTTGCAGTGGAGGAGTCAGCCTGAGCTGACAGGTGCTCCCAAGGATTCAGATGTGGAGAAAAGGAAAACTCCAGCCATTATGTCATGGGTGCCAGCCCTTCCTGGTGTCCCTGACCGGCAAGACCTTCTGGTTGCAGGGAAGGATCTTTTCCTGGTATGGAAAGGGTTGGTGACAGAGCTGCTGACAGCAAGCTCCCTGCCCGTGGGGCTGGCTACACCTCTGACAGCAGCTGCCCTGCCTGCCTCCATCACCCACCTGAGAGATGACCCTGGCCACCCCACCAGCTGCATGGCTTGGGAAGACTCATGCCCCTAACCAGGGACAAGTGACCCACCCAGCTCTGCCCACAGAGCAGTTTCCTGAGCCAGCAGGAGCATGATGCCTCCATGTGAGCACGGGATGCACATGGACGCATTTCCTTCACTTGTGCCCACCTCCCACCCTCTTGCCCTCCCCCACTTCAACTGCCAGCAACCAGTGATCACAAATAAGCAAAAAGTGTGCAAAGTCCTGGGGAGCCAGGTGATGCTTCCAGGCTCAGGGAAGCAGCAGTTGGTTTTTCTCATTTCTCTGTGAGCATCCTGGCAGCACAGTTCTCCCCAGCTCCAGTCCTGCACCCAGCCATGGGCCGTGCGGGTACCAGGAGCGTTCAGCAGAGTGTGGCACCCATGGTAATCAAAGCAGTTTCCATGACTCTTGGTAAATATCAAGGCTGGGGATTTCTGGGGCTTGTTTTCCAGCAAGTTGAGTAGAAGAACCAATAAGGACAAAGACAAATGAATACCTGTTGCCCTTGGCTCAAAATGAAACAAGACAGACAGGTCACTGGCAAAGGTTAGTTAATACCACTTACCACAGAGCTAGGGAGTTGCCCTCAGCTGCTGACAAGAAGGGCAGAGGAGGCATTTTTCATAGACAATGTGAGAACAATACTATGAAAATGCAAAGTAATGACCCCCAAGCATCCTCTGCTGCAAGCCAAGGGAGGGAGGGGCTGGATACCCCGTCCCCAGCACTGCACACATATCTTGCCTACAAGAGGATAGGGGCAGTGGGTCAGGAGAGGATGAGGAGGAAAGGAAGAGGGGCATAATGAAGCTTTGGGAGCATGATGGCCTGCTCAACCTCTTTGGGGTGAGCTGATTGCAGGAGAGAGGGGAGAGGAGCTGGCAAGACACTTCTGGGGAAACAGAATTCTCACTGCCCATGGGTCCTGACACCTGTCAGGGGTCCAGCAAGAAGAAGATAGTCAGGCATGCAGTGTAGAGCACTCACACCAAACTACTGTAGCTGGACTCCCAGCCAGTTTATCCCCCACTGGCTCAGGCCTGGTAATTTTGGGCAAAGTGGTACCTACCTTTCCTTAGGAGTGAAGAGGAAAGGGTGGCTTTGCAGAGGGAATGGGGGTAATATGTGAAGGGCACCAGAGAGCTGTTACAAGCATCTAAACAATGGAAAAGTAATGCAGCTGACCTACCTGGGATTCAGGAAAAATATGGTATCACACCACTCTGGGGAGAGCTCTGGCCTGAACTACTAGCAAGTGTGAGAAGGAGCACAAGAGCCATGACCTGAATGGGGATCTCATAAAATAGAAGATGGGCATGTCCTGGAGGAGGCTTGCTGGCACCCTGGAAATTCCTGCTGGTGGTCCTGGTTGTTAAGCTACCTCAGGTATCTCAGAAGCAGAGAGTCCTGCAGGTGAAATAGCCAGGAAGCACCAGTGTTGCCAGGTGGGCTCACATGTTTAACAAGAACTATCTGATGGAACCATGGGATGGCACCATGAACCACAGAATGACAGAAAGGTTTGAATTGAATGGGATCTTTAAAGGTCATCTAGTTCCAACCCCCTACCATGTGCAGGGACTCCTTCCACTAGACTGGGTTGCTCAGAGCCCTGTCCAATAAGAGTTCCAGTGATGGGGCATTCATCACTTCCCTGGACAACCTGTTCCAGTGCCTCACTCCCCTCATTTTAAAATGTTCTTATATACAATCCAAATCCCCTTTCAATTTAAAACTTGCTCCTTGTCCACAAGCCCTGGTAAAATGTCCCTCTCCAGCTTGCCCAGAGACCTTTAGGTACTGGAAAGGTGCTCTGAGGTCCCCCCTCCTCCCGGCTGAGCAGCCCCAGCTCTCGCTGCCTTTTCTCACAGCAGAGGTGCTCCCTCCCTCTGCCCGTTGCTGCGGACAGATGATGATGCAGGGCCGTGACCGGGCGGGAGCGGAGCCGGCACCGTCCGGCCGCACAGCCCAGCCCAGCCCAGCCCAGCCCGGCCCGGCCCGGCCCCGGCGCTCCCGCGGCCGCGCGGCGCCTCCTGCCGGCAGGGAGAGGGAGCGGCCGCCCCTGCCCGGTGCCCGGTGTCCGGTGCCCGCGCACGGCCGCATCCCGCGCAATGCCGCATCCGTCTGCTGACGCCTCGTGTGCGGTTTGGGTGGGCACGGGAGAGCCTTGGGCTGCAGCAGCCAGCGAGCGAGACGAGAGCTGTGTGCCAGCAGCCACGGCCGTCCTCAGGGCTCTCTGCGTTTCAGAACCAACTGCGGCTCTACAGCCAGCTCCAGCTACCCACGGGAGGGATCCGTGTGTGCGCCCAGCAGAACGAGGGATGCAGCCCGACGGCTGGCAGGACCGAGGACGTGGGGCTGGCAACAGCCCCACAACTCCCAGGCTACCGGCTGCAGCAGCACCGGCACCAAGCCCTGTCCCAGAAGTACGAGATCCCTTCAGCTCTGCTCCAGTAGTGATCCACACTGCACCTGAGACAGGGTGGGGTGGTGTGGGATGGCCAGGAGGGGGCTTCCTGGCCTTTGAAAAGTGTCAGTTGACTTTTCCAAGCAAATCCACGCGACCAGTCCGTGCATGAAGCGGATCCAAGTGAAAGGACGCTGCCATAGGCAGAACCATTGCATTTTAGGTTGGGAGCGTGTTCGGGCACATGGCAACACAGGCTGTGCCTGGCATGTGCCTTCCACTCCTGCACAGGAGATGCCACTGCAATGCACAAGCCTGTCCAGTGGACCATCTGTCCCATAGTAAAATTTTTAATTCTGAGAAGGTGGGAGCTGGGTTTTGAGAGGACAGATGCTACCAAAGAAAAGACCATCAAATAGCCTGTCTCCTACAGGAACCAGGAGGGGTTTGCAGTATACAGAGATTGAACTTTGCACTGCAGAGAGATGGAACCTTTTCTGTTCAATAGTCACAGGCTGTGGCATAAAGGGGAAGAGGCCCAAACCCTCTGCTTTAACTTTATTGTTTTACAGCCCAAACAAGTTACCTGAAAAATAAATGCCCTAAACTTTGAGTGTCAAACACCTTAGTACTGACTGAAATAAAGCAGAAGGTTGGTTGGGTGACAGAATCAGGGAGTGGACTGGGTTAGGAAGGACCTTAAAGATAATTGCATTCCAACCCCGGGCCTTGCTAGGATTCAGTTCCTGCCCAAGCCTTGGCTGGAATAGCTGAGCATTAAACTGATGTAGATACATCACTCTTCTGCTGCTACCTTTGCTCGCTGCTTCTAGCATGCTGGGTTTCAAAGGGCACCTTTTACTTCTCTTCGAAGCCAGCTGTTTCCATAGAAGAAATTTTTACTGCAATGTGGCTATTCATCAGAGAAAGGCCATCACCTGCACCCACAGCACTGCCAGTGGAGTGGAGATGAGCACACAGGCTATCCAGGTGAGCAAAAAGTACAAGATGCCTGTGGACAAGATGCCTGGATCATCTGGTATCCCCAAGGAGCTCCCACTGACTACCAAAGACGGAATTTATTACCACGTACACTTTGCAGAGGGAAATAAAGAGAAAAGACAAGGAGGCCCATCTTTTCAGCAGAGCTTAATGAAAGGCAGAGGTATCATGTTTTTCAAAGAATGAAGATTGGCTCCTGACAGCAGCTGAGGAATGGGTCAGATCTTTGCCATGAACTCCACAGGCTGGGCAGAAGGAAGCACAAAGGCACATAAAGGGATCACCAGCACAAGGACATTGTGACAGGTGCCCTGTCTCTTTCTCATCCCTGAAATGAGTTCAAACTGCTGTATTTGGGACTGAAACACAAAGGACCAGTTAAGGATGACATGGTCTCCCTCCACCTTTCCAAGTGGCAAGCCATGCCTACCTAATCTCTTTGGTGCAGCAATGAGCTACTTCTTGCTTGACAATAGTCACAGCTGCCTCCAAGGCTGCCAGCATTCTAGGGTGAATTCTCCTGGCCCACAGCTGCTAACACAATCATCAAACCAGCTCTGGGATCTGCTCCACTGTGCCACTCAGCCAGGAACCCACTGCTGCGGCAGTGCTGACCCAAACAGAGCTACAGGAGGACAGCATACGCAAAGGTAACATTTACTGAGAGATACAGAACTGAGTATTATGAAGGACATACATGGATGGAGAGGGCAGCAACACCACTGCAGAGGCAGCTTGCACCCCCTTCCCAGCATGCCAGGAAAGGAGCTGGATGCTACCGGACAAGTAACACAATGGAGATAACTGTGGCATATGTGTTTGTAACAAACAGACCATTATAACATACATTTCTATGGGATCACATCTAGTGATTATATAAATCCATATAGAGATCACTGTATAAAAACTTTGTAAAAAATACTTTAAAAAAGTGTAAAAATGTGCATTCAAAAGCACGGCCGACACGGACAGCTGGGCTGTAAACATTATACTGAGTGTGCTTGTGGGGGGCGCCTGCGCCACCGAGCCCCGACAGGCCTGCCCACCAGATGGGGCTGCATCAAGTGTTTGTGGTTCTTGGGTTTAGGTTTCCCTCTGGAGCGTGCCAGGAGCAGCAGCAGCCTCTGGGCAGCGTGCTGGTGGGCACAGCCCAGCTGCCACTCCTCAGCCTGCAGCCCCTGCTACCCATGGGCTGCCTGCTCCTTGCAGGACACGCTGTGGCTTTGTGGGTCCCAGGGCTGAGAGCAGGCTGAAGGGTTGTGATGATGTATCAGAGGGAGGCTGCCCTCACTGGTACCACCAGCCCTGCTCCCAGGTTCAGCCTCAGAGTACATGGTTGGCAGGTTCCCGATCTTCTCTGTTCCCATGTTTGGTCCATAGTCCCCAAGGAAGCCCACTGGGTCCTGGCTGCACCAGGCCTGGGTGTACAGTTCTTCATACAGTACATACATTAGAGACCCTGGAAGACCCTGTGCCACTGTCTCCTCCTCGTGGCCCCGTGCCACCTTCACTTCTTCTCTAGCTGCTCCAGCAGTGGGTTGGCTTCGCTCTCAGGCGTCTTGATGCTGTCTGTCCGCACGATGCAGGTGGGACGGTGCCGGTTCAGCATCAGGATGAGCTGCTGCCTCTCCTGTTTCAGCTCTTCTATCTGGGCCTTCAGCTCAGCATTCATGAGCTCTAGACGCTCAGACTCCTAGCAGGACAGGAACACAACCGCATGTGACTTTATCTAGCAGGACAAGACACAAGAAACAATTTGGCCAACATGCCACCTCTGCTCGGTGCTGTCCCTCAGCCCCTGCAGCAGGGGAGCAGGCTGAAGACCTGCCAAGGCATCACATCCCTCCAGGCAGTTCATCCCCAGCCCTGCTGCCTCATGCTTGGCACTTTGTGCCATCACACAGAAACACACAGCCACCACCTGGGGCAGGTCTCTGCCGCACCCCAGCAAAACCTGTGCCCGGCTGCTTTCCGTGCTCTGGTAAGGTATTTGGGGACAAACCCATGCTTAAGTTTTCACCCAGCCCATCTGTATGCATCTGCCCTTGTGAAATGACTCCTTCCAAGTTGTGTCATCCACCCATGTCTCACCACTGTTTGCAGAAAAACAGCAAGGTGCTGTGACAGATTTTCTGCCCTGGGGTTAGAGATGGAGTGGGCATCTGGCCTCTGAGTGGGAAAATCTTTAGGACTTCAGTCAAGGGGCCAGCACACTGCCAGCCCCTGTCCTGTGCCACACTCATATGGGTGTTCCTGCTCCAGCACCGAGGCAGAGCCATTATTATTCCTCTCTCACCACAAGCCTGGAGTCAACCTCCAGCCTTCTCCAGCCCTGGTACCATGGGTAAGCTCTGCCTGGGCATGTACATGGCCACCACCTTCACAGCCTCACCAAAAGCAGGAGCTCTATTTTCCCAGATAAAGGCACTGGAGCAAGGGGTGGCAGAGGGGAAGCTCAGGAGGCAATGCTTCCTGTAGCTGGAGCACTGTTCTAGGGAGGTCCCTGCTGTGCCCTGGGACAGATTGGGACACCCACCCGCTGCAGGAACTCTGTCCTCTCCTTCTTCTTGTTACGACATCGTGCTGCCGCTACTTTGTTTTTCTCCCGGCGCCTTTTCCTCCTCTCTTCTTCCTCATCCAGCTATAACAAGACAGAGAAACCCAGATCAGAGCCAGCAGATGTGGGATGGGGCAGGAGGTAGGGGTGAGCATGTGGCAGCCCCACCCACGGCAGGGCAATGTGGCAGCCACCTGGTCACAGGCCACCAGCAGCACGACTTAATCCTCATGGAACCAGGTATGCTGCTGCTACAGCCTCTACCTCCATGTGCAAACACAGAGAGGGAGACGTGTACCCAGAGCTGAGGAGATGGCTTCACAGGGCTGCTCCCTCCCTGAGAAAGGGAAGAGACAGAATAGAGCTCCCTCCTTGCTTCTACAAGGGTGGTTTGTCACACAGACATCTACAGGCTCAGCTCTGTTAGCACAGACATTGAAAGCATCACACACAGAGCCAAGGACAAGAGGCAGAAAAACCCAGAAGATATCCCAGCTGAGCCTGCCCCATTCCAGTATCTGGGACTGTCTGCTGCAGCTTCAGCACTGTCTGAGTCACAGGGCCACCACAGTAAGGTGGGGACAGGTCCTGCATGCCCTGTGAGGGGGCAGGACACAGCAGTACCTGCACTGTTTGCCATGACTCAGTTCTCTGTGCTCTTTGACTCAAACCACACAGGCCAAGCCAATAGGCCCTATGAGTCAGAAAACCATAATCAAAGTATTTACTGATATATGCTGCAAAGCCTGTGTAAATGGCCTATGGCATGCCTACATCCAGGAACCCAAACTAGCTCCTTCAAGAAAAATCTGAGTGCTGGAAAGCCCTGCAAAGTCAGGTTATACTTTGCAGCATGGATAGAGAAGAAAAGGTCCCCAGTGCCTTCATGCACATTTGGCCTGGGTGTCTGAAATTTGAGCTGTGAGACTGAACTGCCTCATTCCTATTGACTGATACCACAAGATCACCCCCCATGCAGACACACCAGCAGCGCCTGATGCCAATGAAGGCTGCAGGGGCCATCATCCACAGTAGACTGTGCACACTGCTAACAGTCACCAACTCCAAAACCCACTAATCAAAACATCCCAGTGTGATGCACAAGGACTGGAAGAAATGTGGACTCAGCAGAGGCAGGGTGAAGGGGTGGCTTAAGCAAGCTGCATGTCCTGTACACAGCATGCTGTAGAAGGCAATGTCTGAGCTTTACAGCACTAACAATTTTTCATCTTTTCTACCTTGCTTTGCAAGCATTATACCACAGTTGCTATTTCAGCTGCAGTGAAAATATTAAGCAAAGCCAGCACAAGCTATGCACAGACTTCCATAATGCCAGGCTGCCACGTAGTGCCATGGGGCACCAATGTACCACACCTGTGAGAACTACAATGGGAACTGCACTGATACCCCCAAGTCCAGTCAGAAATGGACAGCTCACACTGCACCCACATAAATTAGATGTGACAGGTTAGCAGGAGTAATCTGGAAGGCACTAACTCTACATTTGACTTCCAGGTCTTATAAAAGTTCCTGACAGAAATTAAGAGGAGGTGGACATCAGGGTAGATGCAATTCCCCTCTGCACATTTACCAACTACTCATCTACCCCTAAGACAGCTTCCCGGTCTGTTAGTTCCAGGATTACTAGGAGAGTGCATAGAAGTCATTTGTGCTCACAGCTCCAAAGCTCAAAAAACACCCCCAAACTTGGCTTCAAAAGTACATCTTGGGGCCTAACAGCAACTGGAAGAGCAACCAGCAACTGCACCAGCCCTGGAAACTGCCTGACATTTCCATGCCCTGTTGGTCTATTCAACCAGAATTACAGAATAAATGACCCTCCACCCCACAGAGGGCCCAGCAAAGGTCTGTGTCCTTTAGATGAAATACAGATGTCCAAGGAAGGTGGCTCAACACAGACAGAAGAAGCTTGAACCCTTGGTTCTGTATTTTGAGCACATCTCCTGTAGCTTCATAGAAAATAGAAAGGTTTGAATAAGATCTTAAAGATCACTTAGTGTCAACCCCCCTACCATAGGCAGGGACCTCTTCCAGTACAGCAGTTGCTAAAAGCCCTGTCCAGCCTAGTCTTGAACACTTCCAGGTATGAGGAATCCACAAATTCTCAGTGCTGAGAAGTTCTCTTTTCAAGACAGCAGGTTTTTTTCCCATCTGCTTCTGCTTGATTTCAATTCAAAAAGGTGACACAGCCCTGGTGCTGAGGGTTAGGAGGTTATTGAGAGGCACATGGGACAGTGATGATGTGTCACCCAATAGCACTTCCCAGCAGCTGATCTCCAGGGGATGGATCCCTGTGGGTAGAAGTCCCTGTGGGGATGCCTCCTGAACTGCTTCAGTCAGCAGCCTCAGAGACTGAGGTTCATCTTGATTTAGGATCATCTGCCTAAGGGGCACGGCTCAGTCCCAGAGGAGCACCCCAGGTGGGATTCAGTGGTGGAGGAGCCCAGCAGCATCTGTCTACAGCTGTCCAAGAGGAGAGCAGCTTTCCCAGTGGGGCTGTCCATCACCCTGCAGAGAAGCTGACCCCCAACACGCACTGGGTGGGTTTTGCGTGTGTCCCCAGGCACACAGACCCCAATGCCAGGAGATGCTGGTGCCCCCAGCAGAGCAGAGAGAGATGCCTTGGCCAGGCTCATGGCAGGCAGCCTGTCCTGCCAGGCACCACAGAGTGGCACACCAGCACCCAGCATTCCTGGGCTCCAGCACCCTGCAAGAGGAAAGCAGCTGCAGGCTGCATTGCAAAACTGTGCGTGGGCAGCATCTTGGCTACTCATGGGATAAGCAGCTACTGCAACAGCTCCCTCAGGCTTTTGCTGCAAAGCCTTGCCAAGGGCAGCTCCATTTGCTGTCTTCAACTCCTCAGCTTCATGGGCCATGCAGGGGAGGAACCAGCTGCATGGAAAGTAGCTGAGCAAGGGCTGTCTGGGTTTTCTCTTAGCTTTCCTCCACATTGTGCCTCAACAGCTGGCTCAGAGGACAATCAGCAATTCCAGTACCTGCTGTGGGGCAGAACTGCCCTGTCCCTGTCACACAGATGCCAGTGACATCACATACCCATGCCCACAAAAAGCAAACGCAGTGGCTGCAGGGCCAGCTCAGAGGTGCCCAAAATGCCCCAGAAAAGGAGCTGAGCCTGGAAAGACAGCATAGCCACAGAGTCACCCTCTTTCTTCCCCAAGCCATGAAGCAAGGCAGGCACTGCAGACCATTTGCTAGATTAATACCCAGGCCAAGAGCTTGGAAGAGAATTTGGCTTCAGCTGCAAATCCGTGACTGCTTTGCCCACAGAGGAACGAAAGCCATCAGCATGCCCAGGGCCTCACAATGGCCTCCCACAATATCCTAGCCTCAGCTCTTCCCTCTGCAGAGCTGTCCAGTCCTTCCCAGGCAACCTCCAGGCTGCACAAGCTGACTGGACACTCTCTTGGGCACAGAGCTCCTGTGCAAGGTGCTCAGATGAGCTACATCATACCAGTTCTACCCACAGGAGTCCACCTCAAACAGCTGGGGGGAAAGAACAGGGATGCTCTGCACAGGTGGCTGCTGCTGAGCTTCTGCTAAAAAATTGGGCTAAATCAAGTATCAGCACCATTTAGATAGCAGGTTACCCCCTGGAACTCCTATTTTACTCCTTTCAGCTCTCAGCTCATCACAGGCAGCTTTTCACATCATCCAGCACCTCCATGCTCATGCTGCCAGAGAACACACATCACCCCATCCTCACATGTCATCATCTGAGGTAACCCCACCCAGAGCAAATGCTGTTCAGAAGGCTGTATATTGGACCTTCTAACAGCAGCCAGCACCTTCGCCACCATGGGACCTCCGAAACGGTGCATTCCCAGCTCCATCTGCAGGCAGTAGGAGGTGCAAACACTCACCACCAGCTCAGCCAGAGTCAAAGACCAGACAACCAACACATGGGACATAAGGAAAACACTGCCCAAGCATTTCCCTGGTCCCTTCAGCCTGGTTCTGACATGGCAGCCTGTGGTACCAAGCAGAAACCACCCATCTTCCCCATTCCAGGAAAATCAAGGTGAAGCCAGGGCCCACCTCAAGCAATGGGGCAGGGGCAGCTCCCAGTCAGCAGCACCTGCAGCACAGGCTGAGTCACTGCTCCACACACCCCATTCCTGCTGGAAAGGCAACACCAATGACAGAAGCACCAAGGGCTTGTTGACATGGGTGACAGGCTGTGTGACTTCTATTCTGGGTGCATGCCCCAACCTAGGGACGTGTTGGCTGCAGCAGACCCCATTCCACACGCAGGGTTTGAGTTCAGATGGCTGCCAATTGCTGCACTGGACCAGGTCCGGGATGCTGAGGCCACCACTGCCAGCCAGGGACAGGAAATCAGGCAGGGAGGAGAGGCAGCTAGTGGAGCAGCTGCTAACATGCATGCACATCACCAAACAGGGAGCTTATAAAACACACTGCTGCCCACTGCTACTACAGCCAAGCACAGGCAGGAGGGAAACCCACACAAATACAGACACCAGCCCTGCAGGGCCACCTGCAGCCAGCAGCCTCCAATACTCACCTCACTTTTGACAGGCTGGGGTCTCTTGCCAAGCTTCACCTCCAGGAACTGGAGAGGCGAGATCATGGCCCCGATGTTGCGGATGTCAGCGCACTTGAGCTCCTCGGCGGTCAGGGCTGTGCCCGGCAGCCCCGTCAGGGGGCCCAGCCCAGGCAGCGCTCCGGCCGTCAGCGACGGGTCGGGGATCTGCCCTGGCATCATAGCAGGGGACACGGCTTCCTGGGCTGCAGGGGGACAGACACATCCCATTACAACCCAGTGACAGGGCCTCGTCACACAGCACAGGACTAACTCATCCTACAGTCCCATCACCTACAGGGGTATGAAGCAAGGCCGACATTCTCCCCCAGGAAGGGCAACGGCAGAGAATAAGCAGAATCTGTATTATAGAAACCAAATATATGAATCCTGCGAGGAAGAATAGGCCACTGGGGTGTAGATCAGGAAGGGAAGAGACCTGAGAGGCAAAGCACCAGAAGAACAGGAGCTGGCTGCAATGACAGTGATGAGATCCCATGGACACCTTTCTCTGGAGAACAGGAGATCAAGGTTTGCTTTTAGCTGAATTTTGATTAATTAATGTGGGGATTATTAGTACAAGAAGAAAATGGCACAAATAGGACCATAATATGCCCTAGGCTGGATTCTTTCTGGGCAGGCTCAGCCACTGGTCAGGGCTGGAACACAGCACACAAAGACCACAGATAAAACTGCAAGAAAAAATACCCGCCACTGTACAAACATCTCTCAGCACAGACATGAGGAAACAAAGGCTGGAGGGGAAGGGAAATGGTGCAAGGTTCAAAAGTCCTCTTCTATCATGAAAGAAGAAAAGTGAGAATAGGATCAAGGCAAACTTCAGCAAGTCACTTATTTTACTCCTTTTTGATGAAAAGGAGTTATCAATAACTATGAAGAACAAGCAGCAAAGATATAATAAAATTAAACCTAAAATGGGAAGTCCATAGAGCTGGAGCTGTTACATCAGTCCAAAAGCCATTGGAGCAGATGGTTGTTGGCTGCAATGCAGGTACATCCCTGCTGTGTAACTGGCCTGGGACATTCACAAGTTACCTACTTAAAACGTTCACTGCTGTCCACACAGCTGCCATTTTCCCCTCTTCTTCAACTCAACCATGTCCCAGTGTGTGTGCACTGCTCTCCTTGCCCTACCCATCCAGAGAAGTCCCAGCACTCTGTAGGAGCCTCCAGGCACCCACCCCATTCTGCCCCTGTGCAGGAGGTACCAACACAGTAGGGACCAGCAATGTCAGGAGAGAAACAGACTAAAGGAGTGGACCCATAATCTCAGTGTGCAGCTTCCTGCAACCACAAGAGCCAGTCAGAAGGCAGGATTCAACAAACAGCTGGGGAAACTCATGGAGGCTCTCACAGCACCAAGTGTCAGAGAAAGGAGGAGCCTTAAATGAGGGATAACAGGCACTTGCCCTGCTCTTTCCAAAGCATCCACTCTCATCTCCTGAGGGACCAAGTAACAGGAGATACAGATTTCTGGCCCAGGCAGTAGAGCCATGCAGACTCACACACACTTAGCCAAGCCAGCTGCCACAGCTGCTCAGCATTTGCCATCCTAGGGAGACAAATCTATGTCAGTACCAGGCTGAAGACTTGAGTAAAGCTGCATGTGAGATAGAACTGCTGGATCACAGAATCACAGAACAGCTGAGGCTGGGAGGGATCTCTGGAGATTGCCTGGTCCAACTGCCCTGCTCAGGTGGAGTCAGTGGGAGGAGGCTGAACAGGGTTAATCATGACAAACAGAGAAGTTAAGTATTTCTTGGCACTGGCACATCCCTTTTCCCATGAGATTATTTAATATATTTGTTAATGTGAAGGAACCAGAGATAAGCAGCAGAAGGAGAGGAAAAACAAGCATAGAGGCTAGTCAAGGGCAGAGAGGCTAATGCAAGCTCCACAGCATCCAGCACGGGTGCTCTGCAAGCTGCATTGGTGTGACAGACAGACTGATTTGCAGCAGAGAGTGTCTTCAACCTGCAGTGAGCTGTGAGCTGTCAAACAGTCTAATCTGCCAATGAAGAGGTCCAGGTGTCAGCATGAGATGTCCCCTGGCAGGGTTTGCTCAGCTGTGACCAAGAAGACTTGGGAAAGAGCAGGGAAAGCAGATGCAGCAAGACAGAAACCATAAAGGGGAATCAAGCCCTCTGCTCCAGTCATCCTTTAGGAGACTAGAAAAGGGGAGAGCAAGCCAGTGTTCAGCAGTGCTGGGAGCACTGCTGTGGGGAGAGGAAGCTGGGCAGGGAGGAGGTGATCTGCATAAGGTCATTAAAGCCTGAAGAGAAGACAAGAAAGACAGACAAGTAACTTCCCAAGAGAAGAGATACTCCCTGATGAAATGGACTCTTGCCCATTTGGTGAAAGAAAAGAAAGACAAAATACTTGGTAATGATACTTGACTTCCAAAAAGACTACAAGTCAACTCCATGAGACTGCAAGGACCTAAGCTGATGCAAAGTATTCATTCTTCCACAGAGATCTCTAAACTAGAAAAATGTAATTCCACATCTGCAGTGCAATCTTGTACTGACATCTTGTACCAGAATCTGCACCAACATCTTCTAAGGTGCCCAGAGATGCCCAATGCAGCTGGGCTCTGAAGCTGCAAGTTATACCTCCCTCCCCCTTCCTTTCAGGCCTACACAAGGCTAAGATGCTCCACTGCTCCAGAAATAAGTACCATCACACCCTTAGGCAGCACTCCAGACAGGAAAACACAAGTTATTTAGGGAATGTGGCTAAATCCCAACCACCTTCCTCAGAGATCATCCCTCTACAGCAGGAAGGCACCTGGTCAATGAGGTGGATGACAAAGGGGAGGTGAATCCAGAGGTTCTTCCCAGGACCCCCTGACACAAGACAGAGCTGTATGGGGTTAAATCCAGTCTACCATTTTGGGATAGCTGCATACACCACAGAGCTGGCCATTTCCCTGATGCTGCCACCAAGGTGACATGCTCTGGCACTGGGGAAGACACCTGCCAACAGCAGCAGAGCCCAAGCCAGCAATCCCACAGATGTCCATCCCCAGCTTGAACAGTTTATGTCAAAATTTAAAAAAATAAAATAGAAAAATAATCAGTAGCAAAAGTATATGAGCAGCCACTTGAAGTCTCTCACAGACTGATTTGGGGCCCTGACCCACCCTTTCACAGGCTTCAGCATGAGAATTGACTTGAACCCAGCACTGGATGCTAAAATCTGTTCTGGACTTGGAGGACTTGGTTTTAATTTATTCATAGAATCACAGAATATGCTGAGTTGGAGGGACCCATCAGGATCATCGAGTCCAGCTCCTGACACTGCACAGGATAGCCCAAGAATCACACCATGTGCCTTAGACTGTTGTCCAGACACTTACTGAACTCTGTCAGGCTTGGTTCTGTGACTACTTCCTTGTGGAGCCTGTTCTAGCACCCAACCACCCTCTGGATGAAAAACCTTTTTCTGATATCCAACCTAAACCTCCTCTGCCTCAGCTTCATGCCATTTCCTCAAGTCCTGTCACTGGTCACAAGAGTACCTGCCCCTCCTCTTCCCCTCACAGGGAAGTTGTAACTGCAGTGAGGTCTCCCCTCAGTCTCTTCTTCTCTAGGCTTAACAGACCAAGTGACCTCAGCCACTCCTCATACAGTTTCTCCTCCAGGCCCTTCACCATCCTCATGGCCCTCCTTTGGATGCCCTCTAATGGCTTCACCTCTTTTCTCTATTGTGGTGCCCAAAACTGCTCACAGCATTCAAGGCAAGGCCACATGTGTGTGGAGCAGAGCAGGACAATCCCCTCCCTTGACTGGCTGGCCATGCTGTGCTTAATTTTCTTCCATCATGACATGCAGCTGACAGCACCCAGGCTAGACAGTCCAGGTCCTCAGGCAGACTGAATATAAGGTCACTGCAGTTTTTGAAATAAGGAGCAAGGAGAAACCCATTCTTTGGGCTGTGGGCCAACCTGACCACTCAGCACCCTCCCCATGCACTCCTGAGCCTAGGGCAGGTCCCTGGGGACAAGTGGCTAAAGATTTGAGAAACCACTTTTTTTCCTCCAGCACATCTTCTCCTTCTGCATCTTTGATCTGGTAGCTTGATAGGCCTTGAATTAGCCTCTGTACCAGTGTAACACACAACACAGGTCAGAGTGAAGGGGCTGGCCCAGTATCCAATATGCTCTAAAAACTTATCCTGGATCCAGGGACTGCAGTGCCAAAGCCCACATCACACCTGCATCAGTGGAAACTAAATTTTAAGCTCATCAAACCAAAGTGCCAGAAGCTTCTGGATAACCATAAACCTGCACATTAAGATGAGCTGAGAACTAGGTAGAAAGGGGGGAAAGTGTCTTCTACAGGTGAGAGCTTGCTCAGGGGCCAGAAAGCTCAGGAGCACATTGAGAACTGCCAAGAGTCAAGCTGAGGTAAGCCTTGGGGAGGAACGTAACACCATTCCCAGCAGGGCTATAACCATGGAAATAGAAAGGAATGAGGAGAGGTGCTATCCCTGTCTGCAGAGCAGGGGTGCAGTAACAGATCATCTCCCCAATTCTTGAGGGCCCTCAGCCCCAGGCACTGTCACTCCTGCTGATTGAAAGGACTCAAACTTGAACAAACTCCAAGTTTGTTCCACTCCTTTGCTTCTTCCTAATGTAAGCACAACTTTCTTTTCACCCCAAGTCCCAGATACTTTCCCATTCTTATCTGGTGAGTGCCAGAGCTAAGTTGATAACGTAAAAAAGCCAGAGTATGGAATTCTATTTATTACTTTCATCTTCCTCCCAAAGCTGTTATCCTGGCAGACATGGACATGCCTACCTATAGCTCCAGCATACTGGTACCACGTTCACATGGTAGGGCAGAACTTTAAAGCTCAGGATCTGAGTTTGATCTTTTAGTTGCAGCTCTTCAACAGCCACCTCTGGATGGATGGGGTGAATACAGCTGGTGCCTTGCCAATTCTTAATTGGTTTCTGGATATTCCCTTGCAGCATTTGCTATTTCTAAGGCACATGAACCAACTCACCTCTATATTCATTCTTTCTAACATAGTGCTTTAGTTGGGATTCTTATTATATTTTTTTTTCTTTTCAGAACTGATAAATAACACAGCCTTTTTCCCTCAATGCCAGATGGTGTTTCAACATCTCCTTACACGAGCTTGGAAATGTCACGTCTTCAGTACAACCTAGC